AAAATTTGGACTAAATATCTTGCAATGTAACTTCTTGCAAATGAGGAATAATATTTATTGTGAATGTTTACATTTCTCTCTCTCTCTCTCTATATATATATATATATATATATACCATAATTCGAAAACCAAATTACAACAGAAAAAACAAGTTATAAATATCTTACAAGTAATCAAAAGAAAGTTATGGGAAAGAAAGGTTTAGAACAACAGTACATCAAAGTATTAACTCTCCATCCCCTGGAAGTACAGTTACATAGCTAAATAGAAGCATCGAACTATATTTACAAACAGCAATTTTGTTAGAATTACATGGTTTCACAGGAATCCTTATCACTTTTCAAGCTCTTCCATTGCTGAAGTTGGGAAGTTAAGCTGACATTTTCTTCCTGGGTCTTGGTAAGTTGTATTTTGATTGATTCAAACTCTTGCTGTTGCTTCTGGAAATCTTCCAGTTTTTCATGGAGGAGAATGCTGTTCGTTTTAAATTCCCTGTTACAAAATAAGCAGAGCAAGATTTGGTTCACTGTTTGATATAATATTACACCATAAAATCAGTTTTTCAGATTTAAAATAAATAATTTCACAGTTAAGTTTCTACTGGCAAAATCTTTAACTACTGTTTCAATATATTTCCAAGAGCTGAATAAAAGATACAGAATGCTTTAACAATTTAGCCATAAAAAATTTGGCTTCCATTTACAATAACAGGAATCAATAGGTACATTGTAAATATTTCATAATATGGGGTATAATATTTTCTTTAAAGATAACTTCTGTAGCACCGATTCTATCCAACTGAATAATGATATATATATAGATTTTTTATGGAAATGATCGTTTTCTTTACTTCCAGCTATCTTATACTACATGAAAACATAAAATAGCAATGTCTGTAAAACACTCTGAGAAACATACACGAAATATAGAAATATTTGTATAGCAATTTTTTCACCAAGAGGCAACATAACTATTTAATTTGGGTAACATACTTATCAATACTAAGGTATGTGAAACATTTTTATCTTTACTTATAAACCCAAGAGAACATTAACAAGCAGTTTTCTTTGAACATACACTGTGAAAACTGACAAATTAACCTTATAATTCGTGAGTCGTTTTAGAGAAATGTTTCAGAATTAGGCATCATGCATAAGGATATGTAAAACAACCAAGCATACATGTGTACGCAGCCTGTTGTCAAGATGGTAGTATAGATTTTATAATGTTCAAGTACATTTGTAATTATTTTAGTTGAGTCAGTCATCTGTTAAAAGACCAAATACACGTTGTTTATCAAATAAAAATTCAACAAGCTAGCTTTCTAAACTTCATAGATTCAAATCACAGTTCACAGTTTTAAAGAAAGAGTACTGCCTATGAGCCTAATTAAAACCTAAGATTATTCACAGTAACCCACAAATAAAAGTATTTAAAACATAAAAAATTTTGTAGGGTCTAACCAGTGTAGCCCTTAGTATAATATCAAGAAGCTGAAGCTTAAACTAAAAATAATACTTGATTTTTGTGCTTCAACAGACCATTTTTCACCAAATTTGAAATTAGTGGCTTATAAAAGTATTTTATGAGTTATTAGAAGAAAATCTGTTAATTCACAATTATAAGTACCAACTGTATGAGTTGTTAGTGCTGTGTGAAATGGGATGCCTAGAAATTTCGAAGGAATATAAATAAATGATATTAATTGTATAACAACTGGATGACTCTGTTCATTACAAAACATTAAAAACGAGTTTGTCGTAGCTCGTCCAGTTATCTTTTGAGAAGTTACAATGGTTGTATTACTCACACACAAGAGTGGTCAAGTTTTCACAAAATTGGTAAATCACGAAGGGAGATAAGTGTGAGAGGGATTCCCCCTTTCACAGATTTTGTTTTGTTTCCTGTTTTGATGTTAAAATGGTGCATTCTAAAGTAATAGAACAAATAAAGCACGATCATATTAATAAATGTTAAATTTGTGCTGTACAAGAGTTTACCTAACAATTTTTTTTTAGCTAGATCAGACAAATTAAGAGGGATGTGAAAAAAAAAACATCTGCAGTTAACACTAATGTTCCCCAAAACGGGTTAGATGCTGTGTGGATAACATGTGACATACCTTCAACATTAATTATCCAATACTACTCACTAGACTAATTGAATTTCTATTTTGTTGTTAATTTCTTTTATTTTTCACCTTTTATTCACTGAAATGCCTAATCAATTCTCGCAAGGTAAATTTATAACAAGTGTATACAAAAAAGCCCTCTTCTAGACATATTTCCCTATTCTTATGTAAAAAAACAAAAAACTATCAGAGGACAAGACACGAAGATCGCCAAATTTTTAATTCTAAAGAAAGTCAACTCAAAGCATTGACAGATGTATACAACACACACTTGAACTGAATAGTTATTCAGTTTATTCTCTCATTCATTCAAAAGTGCTTCAAAGACGATTAAAAGAACTTTTACTATTTGCAAACATGATGATACAAGTAACTCTGCAACTTTGACTATCCTATACTTTAGTGATAGACTTAAAAAGAGATAATTGGTGATACAAAGATCAGGTTTACCTATAAGACTTGTACAAAAAAACAATCAGAACCTTAAAAGAAATATTAATATATTCCACGTACAATCCAGATAAGGCTTGCAAAAAAATATAAAAAAAAGGTTTTGCTAAAGATGCAGGAGCAACAGATAAATAAATATTAAAAAATTTTATTTATAAAATAATTTGTAGAATATGAAATTAATTTTACATTTGAGAGACATCTCACTCATTACGTGACAGATTCACTAAGCATGCAAGAACCTTACATCAACTCAACAAAGGTTCCAGTGTTGTAGAGGATCACTATGTAGAAAAACATGGACTACTGTCCTTTACAAACACATATCCTTGCTACAACTAATTACTTTCTTCATTATAAATATAGAGAAGTCCCTCTTACTTCAACATTTAATCCACAAATGAATTAAAACATGGGATGGGCATTATAATCTTTGTTTATTCCCCTCTATTTAACTTCACTTTTCAATTTTTTTTTTTCATTATAATCTATTGTATATTTGATTACTTCATGTTCTGTATATCTTTTTTTTTCAGAATAATCAAATGATTTTCACTACAATTTTAGGCTTCACACCAACATTTGTGTTGTTAGACACTAATGTCACTGTATATTTTGTTTTAAAGTAAATCATTATTATCTGTGTGACCATTCTTTCAATTGGTCTACAGAACAAATTTAGTCTGTTACACATTGTGAGTCCAGTAGTGTAAGAAGTTATCTACTCTTGAAGAATTTGTAGGAATGAATTTTTGAGTGAAATAAATATAACCTTGTTCTGGCATTTATGTTTGTTCTTTCATTATATAGCATGTATTGTTTTACACTGTTAGTTTTTGTTGTCTGTACAGTGACATCTGGTTCATAGTCTGTATTAGAAGATCAGGAAAAGCAGAAATCCATGGATACTTTTCATGCCTGAATTTACTCCAGATTGAGTGTTATACATATTTTACATATCAACATGATGTAAAACATGAAAGTCAGCACTAACTTCTGTACATCGTGAATATTTTCCACGCACTAATCAAGGTCACAACTGAACACAGTGAATATTCAAAGTGTCCCCGAGAACACTTACCTTGTTAAACTGATGTTATATCTAACTACTAGCCAGAGTATACTGAATACAGCCTTTTGACATACTGCAATTATAGAAACTTCACGGGTCTTTGTTTGTTTTCTACCATGGAGAATCAACCTCCACATTTTAACATTATAAGTCCATAAAATTACAGCTGAGCCATGGAACTACATTACACACTACTATTAAAAAAAAAAGCATTAACCTCAAAATTCTGTTATCTTCCTGCAACTTCTGATTCTCTTCTTCCATTTCCACCATTCTTGAAAGTTCTTTCTGAAGACTTTGAACACATGCCATGTCTTCTTGGTGAGCTGATAACTTCTCCTCAAGCTCCTATTGTAGAACAGAACAGAATGCAAACTAAATTATTAACTCCTAAGTAGAAACTAAAAACACTGCTTCAAGGACAGGATTTATATTCATTTGACTAAGATAATCAAGTGAATTGATAATACACTATCAATATCTATAATTATCCTAAAACAAAATCAGTTTAAGATAGAAAAAATGTGGCTCATGACGTTTTTCTGTCAAATTTTGAGACAATTTATACAAAATATATAATGATAATAAAAGTCTAATCTTACAGATGACAAACGTCATTTTTCTATTATAGGTGTTTTTTGACATATAATCCTTTTCCTATTCATTTATGAAATAGTCATCAATATGTTTGGAGATTTTGTTTAACCAAGGGTATTTTTTGTTCAATGTGCTTTTGTAATCATACGATTATAAAATGTATTTCACATACATTAACTGTATCTATAATAAAAGAAAAATAGTCACTATACACAGAACTTAAATGTGTTCCTAAGGAAATTATGACACTGTAGACGACTGTCACACAACACTGTCAGTATAACACAATTTTGTGTAATCAATTAAGCACATCTTCTATCCAGTAATATGTTATTCTTTTAACAACACAAATAGCATTATTCAGTGTATAACGTAAGTGGAAAAAGGCTACAAAGAAACATTCAATGCATTGGAGGGCAGGCCACAGTGTCCTGGAGCTTTCCACTTCCATACACTCATAAAAAATGCACTTTTTTCACACTCTTCATAGAAATTTATATCAAAGGGACATTAACAATTAATGCAACATATGAAACTTTTCAGAGGGACATTAACAATTAATGTGGCAAGTGAAAGCCGCAAGGAAGCTGTCGTGCTGATGTCGCTGGACTCGCCCAGAGGACTTGTC